CCAAGAGCTCTCAGGAACTAAACCACCAACCAAAGAGTACAGATGGAGGGACCCATGACTCCAGATGTATATGTAGCAGAAGCCTTATCTAGCATCGAGGGGAGGCCCTTGGTTCTTTGAAGGCTAGATGAATGCCCCAGTGTAGGGGAATGCAAGGGTGGTGAGGCTGGAGTGGGTGGATATGTTGGGGAGCACCTTCATAGAAGCAAGGGAAGGGAGATGGGATAAAGAGTTTGTGTGGGGGAACTGGGAAAGGGGATAACAGAACTGTAGATAAAAATATTCATTGAAATAATTAAATGAGGAAGAAAAATGTGATTTATAAACTAAATCATTTTAGAAGCATCCTACAACTTTTCTCCTCTTTGACCTTTAGATATTTATTTATTTATTCATATACACCCCAAATGCTGCCCACTTACCAGTCCTCTCCCCTCTCCTTCTACTCTGAGAGGATGTGGTGCCCCCTGGTTATCCCCCCAACCCAGTGCACTAAGTCTCCAGAAGATTAGGCACACCCTCACCCCTGAGGCCAGGCAAGGCCACCCAGTTTGGGAACAGATTCAATAATCAGGCTACAGCTTTAGGGACAACCCTGCTCTAACTCTTAGGGGACCACATGGAGACTGATCTGCACATCTGAGACATATGTGCCAGGGTTCTTGGCTCAGCCCATTCTCTTTGGTTGGTGGCTCAGTCTCTGAGAGCTCCCAGTGGTTGAGGTTAGTTCATGCAGTTGGTCTTCCTTTGGAGTTCCAATGTACATCAGGGCCTTTAGTTCTCCCACAAACTCTTCTATAAGAGTCCTGACCTCAATCCAATGTTTGGCTGTGAGTATCTGCATGTGTTTCAGTCAGCTGCTGTGTAGAGCCTCTCTGAGGACAGTTATGTTAGACTCCTCTCTGCAAGCATTAACAGAGTGCTTGCCCATGGAAAGAGTCTCAAGTTGAGGTGGTTATTTGGTGGCCATTCCTTCAATTTCCACTCCAGTTTTGTTCCTGCAATTTTATTTTATTTTATTATTTTATTTTTTATTTTTTTTAGGAAGGAACAAATTTTGGCTGAAAAGTTTTAGGGATGGATTGATGTCCTAATCCCACCATTGGAGGTCCTGCTTGATTATAATAGGTGGCCTTTTCAGGTTTGAGATCCTCACTGCTATGTGCCTCAGTAAGGTCACTTACATTGTCTCCTGGGATTCCCCTATCCATAACATTTTCTAGAGATACCCTCTAACTCCACACCTCTGCAACTCCCACAGCTGCAGACTGGCACTCATTCTCCTGCCCTCTGGACCTCTCTCCTGTGTCTACCCACATCTACTCTTGCCCCATCTCTAATACCCCTACTGTTTTAGTTAGGGTTTTACTGCTATGAACAGACACCATGAACAAAGCAACTCTTTTATACCTCTCTCTCTCTCTCTTTTTTTTTGAACAAGGCAACTCTTACCAGAACAATATTTAATTGGGGATGGCTTACAGGTTTTGAGGATGTTCATTCCATTATCGAGCATGGCAGCACCCAGGCATGTATGGTGCAGGAAGAGCTGGTAGTTCAACATCTTGTTCCAAAGTCACACAGGAGAAGAATGGCTTCTAGGCAACTAGGATGAGGATCTTAAAGCTCACACCCTCAGTGACACACTTTCTTTATCAGGGCCACATCTACTCCAACAAGGGTGCACCTAATATAGCCACTAAGTAAGACTCAAGTATCCTTGCTCAAGTCTTCCTTTTGGTTTAACTTCTTTGGGTCTATGGGGTATATAATGAGTATCCTGTACTTCATGGCAATATATACACTTATCAGTGAGTAAATACCATGCTTGTCCTTTTGGTTCTGGGTTACCTAATTCAGGATGATATTTTCTTGTTCTATTCATTTGCCTTCAAAATTCATGATGTCCATGAGCACTGACATGTTGATAGAGCATCTAGAACATTTGGAGGGGAAAGGCTTCATCTGCCCTTAGCTTAGACAGTAAAGTCTGATTGTGGAACACTAAGAAGGCTCAGTAGAGTTTGCCATACAAGCTCACAGCCCATAGTGTGATCCATGAAACTTCCTGTGGAAAGAAACCTAGCCCTCGAAAATCATTTTCTGATACACAGGGAGGCATGCACACACAACCACACACACACAGAAATGCTCACATATATAAACACACATAAACACACGAGAGAGAGAGAGAGAGAGAGATAGAGAGATAGAGAGAGAGAGAAATTGTCACATAAACACACACACTTATACCTCACATATACTCACACACATGCTAACATAAGCACTGTAATGGCTATTCCTGGTTGTCAAATTCAGTATATTTGGAAGGAACTACAATCCAGATTTGGAGGGCACAGCTGTGGTCCAAATCTTGAGGATAGAAGACACAAGTTTCTGACCTGGATCTTGGCATGGAGATCTTGAAGCATAGTGGACAAGAAAAACTTAGGCCCAGGCAAGGTAATGTACACATTTAATCATAGCAGACTGATGCAAAGAGGTATCTGAGTTCAAAGTCATCATGGGACAAAGCAAGATCTTTTTTTGTTGTTGTTTTGTTTTTTGAGACAGGGTTTCTCTGTATAGCCCTGGCTGTCCTGAAACTCACTCTGTAGATCAGGCTGGCCTCGAACTCAGAAATCCACCTGCCTCTGCCTCCCAAGTGCTGGGATTAAAGGCGTGCGACACCACTGCCCAGCACAAAGCAAGATCTTGATCCAGGTGTGGTGACATACACATTTAACCAGGGCCACACCTTCTACTGGAAGCCTACATAGGGGCATTGTAAGAATGAAGATCCACTCTTCAACTGTTTGCACTTACTTGCCAGCACATCTGTTGAAACCCACTTCTACAGAAGACCAGCTCAAACAACTAGCCACATGAGTCTTAGCAACTAGTAGATTTTTGGGCTTCCCATCCACAGCTGCCTATTTTTGGGTTAGTTGACCTACAGACTGTAAGTCATCACAGTAAATTCCCTTGATATATAGAGATAGTCCATAAGTTCTGTGACTCTAGAGAACCCTGACTTATACAAGCACAAACATACTCAAACTCACATATACTTAGAAACACACAGAGTCACACAAGTCACACTCACAGAGTCTCAGTGATAACAAATCAAAGCACATATTGCAAACATGGCTCTGAGGGTTTAGTCTCCTGAAGGTCTTAAGATGGGAGAGACTGGAAAGATCTTTCTGAATAGGTGCTGTCATTCCTGAAGAATAGAGGACTAAGCAAAAGGGATGAGAAGGTGGGGGGCATTTCCAAGAGGAGACAGAGTTCTGGGATATAGGATGCACCCAAGTATCAATGGGGGTCACCTTAGCTGTGACTCACTACATTGGGGATATGGAACTTGAAGAGGCCATTTCCTGTAGCCAGGCAAGAAGCCCTGTGGTGCAATTGAGACATCAACCCACCTACAGAACTTTTGACTCAAAATTATCCTGTCTACAAGGACTGCAGGCACAGGGAATGGGTTGGAAACTGAGGGAACAGCTAAACAATAACCAGCCCATCTTGAGACGCATCCCATGGGCAAACACTAGTCCCTAACACTGTTAATGATATTCTATTATACTTGCAGAGAGATGTGTGTTGTCCTCTGAGAGGCTCCACCTAACAGCTGACTCAGACAGACACAGATACCCACAGCTGAACAGTGGAGGGAGCTTGAGGAGTCTTATGGGAGAACAGGAGGAAGGATTATAGACCCAGAAGGGAATAAGAACTGCCCAGGAATACCAACAGAGTCAACTAACCTGGACCTTCAGGGTTTTCAGAGTCTGAAGGACCAACAAAAGAACACACACAGGCTGGACCTAGGCCTCCCCCACATTTGTAGCAGATGTGCAGCATTGTCTTCATGTGGTTCCCAAAACTGGAATGGGAGCTATCCCACATTTCTGTTGCCTGTATTGGGTTATGTTCTTTTAGCTTGGCTGCCTGATCTGGCCTAGTAGGAGAGGAGGTACCTAGCCTCGATGAGATTTAAAATGCCAAGGTGAAGGGATAATGGGGAGAGCACCCACTTATATGAGAAGGAAATGGGGGATAGATTGTGAAAAGGGGTAACCAGGAGGGGGCAATGAGTGGGATGTAAAGTGAATAGGTTAAAAAAAATAAAAAAAAAAGAAAAGAAAAAACAAGAGTAGAAGACTAAACCTTGTGTTCAAAGGGAGTTTAATTCTTCCTTCTTCGAGGACATGGCTAGAGTACATACATTCCTAACCCAGGGGAAGTATATATCCTGAGATGTAACTAAAGCTGTCAACCAAAATCACTCAGAATCCTCCAGCCTGTTCCTCTGCTGGCCAAGAACTCAGATATCTGTCGGTGGTCTCTGCCAACCCAGTACTGGAGTGAAAGGCGTGTGCCACCACAATGTTACTTGTTTTCTTCTTTAAAATATTTTAATTTTTATTTCTTTTTAGTCATGTGTATGATATGTGTATGTGCAGAGGAGTAAAAGTCTTCCTAGAGACCACAAAAGAATGTCAGATCATCTGAACCCAGAGTTACAGGTGGTTATAGATATGAAAAAAAAAAAAAAAAACAGTCCTCCCCAGGGAGAGCACCAAGCAGTCTTAAACTCTGAGCCATTTTTTTCAAGAGAATCTTTGTAGTATTTTGAACAGGATTTCAGAAAGCTGAAGTGTATATAATCTTGAAACACTGGGCGTGTTATTCTGAAAATTCTGGGAAGACAGAGTGACAGAGAGAAGGGAACACAAGAATATGGGAAGGGCAAACAAAACAGTAAATACCATATTCAAATTTCATTTGCTGTGTCAAGGTGTGTCTGTACTGTTGACCTCAGGCAAAAAGTGAGCCCTCATTCTCCAGATAAGTACTTCTCCTTCAACAATGATCCAATGAAACAATCATCATTCCCAAGTACATTCAAAAATATGCTGAAATACACATGCTCTATCTCAAATTTGTCACTGACTTCTGGCTTTCCTTTCTCAGAGTCCAGCAGTGACCTCTCATTGCCAACAGAAACATAATGTGGCGCCGAAGTCATAGACCCAGAATCCTCCACAAACTGCACAAATATTACTCACAAAACAGATCTTCTTTGGCTGCCTTATATCCTTGAGTGTGGCCAATAGCTCAGAGCACTGTTGTACAAATCTTTGTGGGAGGACATTACCAAATTCATCATAGACCTCATAGGGGGCAGGGTACATTTCCCTGGTCAGTTGTCTCAGGTTAGCAGTATGCTGCAGAAGCTTCTTCAGGCTGTCCATAGATAAGAAGTTCATCTGAAAATTGACCTCAGTGAGCTGGGAGCATTGGCTCAGAGCAGGTAGGAGGACATCAATTTGGAAGTCCGTGAACATACAGCCCTTCAATCCTAGCTTCTGCAGTGTAGCTGTCAGTCTTTCTAGAAGTCTTCCAAGAAATTCATGACTTGAATTTATAAAGTCGTTGCCACTCAGATCCAGGTATCTGAGCTGATGCACTCTTGGACACTCAGATAGACAACTCATATCTGACTCTGACAGCTTACATCGAGTGATTGCAAGGGTCTCTAAGGGACTCCCTAAGCACCTAGAGAGAGACAAATGAGATCATCTCCTTAAAGTTCAATATTGGCACACAAAGGGCAAGATTTCAAGCAAGAAAAGGCTAGTTAAGTCCAAGGTCATTCTGTGCTCATAATGAAACTCAAAGTTAGAATGTTCCCTGATAGAGAGTACCAAATGTATCTTGTTACTATAAGCAGAGGACACACACCATCATTATGATTGCTTTTGCCTAGAGCTCTACAGTGCCCTCTGCACTTTGGAGCACAAAACCACATCAGTGAATAGATGATATCAGAAAGGAAACACAGTGGGACTGTCTTGGAAAGACCTAGAACCATTCCTGGGTGTGATAACTTTGAGCTCATGAGCTCCACCTCTATGGCACGGATTTTTGTTCTGTCCACATAGCTTCTCTGTGGCCATAATGACTCTCAATCAATACTGAGCCCCTACCAGTGTTCAGATAGCCTGAGACCCATGGGGAGTCAGAGGCAGATGAAAAGTCTTCATACAGTTCTCACGACAGAAGTGGCATGGGACAAAATGTGATATAAGCTCTCATAGCCTCTATACATCTGTTTTCACTACATCTGGGTACTTGGCAAAGAACTTTTCTAAATCATGGACGTATAAATGGTAGTCTGAGTTTACTGAAGTGACAACTCAGGATATAAGATTTCACAAACACTAAGATCAATTATTCTAAGGTCACATCCATGTAAATTCAACAGTGCCTAGGAAGCCACAGCTTTGCACTAGCTTTTCATGTAACAGAGAAAGGCTTTATTCTAGTCCCTGGACAAAGCTCTCTTTCCTTACTCACCTGAGCACTTGGTCCAGGCGTTCATTCACAAAGCACACATCATTCAAATAAAGATGCTGGAGCTTCTGTAGTTTGGAGAATTGGGGAATGATCATAATTAAACACCAGTCTTCCATCTCTTTATTTCCAATCCAGTTGAAAGATATGTGGATATCATTGAGAAGGAGTTTTTGAAGGTTTATCATCTGGCCCAAATTAGGGGCTATTGTTACAAGGGTGTTTAGGTCGCAGTGTTTATACACTTCCAACTCCTGGATAGAACTTAGCTCAACTACATCCTGAAGATAAGGTGGGTGGTAGACAGGGTTGGTCCAAATCTCCATCTTCTGACAGTTCACCTGTACTACATCTTTTCTCTCCTTTGCCCACTGATAAAAATATTCATTGTATTTACTTATGTGACTAGGATTCAGAGAAAGGTTTATCCTCACAGTCAAAGACTGTTTTCCCTTTTGTTTGGGATGATACATCAAAGGTTGTGGCTGCCTAATGTCTGGAAGGCGGACACCATCCTCTATTCCAGCCCACACATTCCAGAAATCATGGTTGGCATCTCGTAAATCAAGGACCTGTAGTTTCCACCTCCTATGGATCAAATGGGAAAAAATTCAGATGACAGAAGAGGCAATGTGTAAACAGCTTTGTCCCTACAACACAAAGACCCTTAAATCCATTCCTTGAGGGAAGAAGCCAGGACAGATTCATTGCATATTGAATGCATCTGTTTTCTGCCCTGCTGCACACACCACTGTCCTTTTTCTTTGTTTCTCTCCACAAAGTTAGTACCATCAGAAGCCTCTGATTCAACTTGGACCACATGGTGAATACCTCCATTGATCCACACACTTCCCTCCATGCTACCTTGGTGTCACTTACCTGGGTCGAACTTTTTGTGTCATCAGCAAATCCAGGCCACCCAGCACAGCCTTCAAGATGTCCAAGTCTGGAGTTGTCATCAGGGCTCCCACAGGAAGGCATGGGAAGGGCCAGGCTGCCACCATCTCCCTCAGAATGTTAGTTTGTTTGCTAATGAATGCATCCTTGAAGAGTGGTGGGAACAGCTCCATGGGCAGGTCCTGAAGAGCAGAGATGGTTAAGGCTTCATCTTTCAGCAGGCTTCTTCTCGCCAGCTGCAGGAGCATGGGAAGGGTCTTGAAGCTCATCCTGTCTTTCAGGTAGGGAGAGGCTCTGGATATAGCAAGATAAAGAAATTCTTTCAGGAAAACACTTTTTTTTTTTTTTGTTTTTTTTTTTGTTTTTTTTTGGGTTTTTTGAGACAGGGTTTCTCTGTATAGTCCTGGCTGTGGCTGTCCTGGAACTCACTCTGTAGACCAGGCTGGCCTTGAACTCAGAAATCCGCCTGCCTTTGCCTCCCAAGTGCTGGGATTAAAGGCGTGCGCCACCACCGCCCGGCAAGAAAACACTTTTTAGCTTGCTTCGTTCTCCACTAATTATACAAACAGATTCAGCCTCAGTCATTGTTCTGGCAGTGTCATCAACCTATATATTTCCCATTAGACACTATTTTTCCCAGAGCCATATTTCCTTCAAGGGCCTCCTGGAGAGTCAAAAGAACCCATTTCAACCCAACCATATCTACAGCTCACCTGCTGAGAAGCTGGTATCAGAATATTCAGCCTGAGCTCTACACTTTTCTGTGAAATCATCTACATGAGTCTCTCATAACCCTAAATGGCAAATTTAGAGTTCACACACTCAAACTATACTTGAATTCAATGAATGGAACTGTTGGGGAGATTCTGTGATATGCATATTGTTACTTTGACTTCCTTAAGTTTTAGATCCAGTAGCCACACTGATCTGTGGCCTGCTTTTTAGGAGACTGAATCATGAGAATTGTCAATTTTATACTTTCATGGGAGTCACTATTTTCTTCATCTTCACTCTAAATCTGTAATCATTTTAAATTAGGATATTTTAAGGTATACTGCAGATATTTGTAAGAAAATAAGGTACTTCCTCAATGGGCCAAGTCCATGAATGTTACATTCTCAGCTCTATATAAATGGCACAAGGCAGTTCAGCTTGAGGTCTCAGGACTCAGTAGAGAGAGGCAGAAAAATCAGTCTTAAATGACAGCTACATATGGAGTTCTAAGGTAACCTGGGTTAGATGATATTTTCTACTTCAAACCTGTCACACCAAACAAGGAAGCAAAAATTTTTTTTACAATAATTGAATATTGAAATTACTGAGGTGAAATGGGAAACTGAATAGGAGAAGCATAAATGGGCTGCCTGGATGGGATGGGGCATCCTGATGGATTGAATGACTTACCTGATCTGCACACTGCTTTCAGGTTTTCCCTTCCTAGCAGGAACAGGGAGTTGCTCCAGGCTCCAAGCCTCAGAATATCTTGTGCAACCATACTGAGCCTTATATCCACCTTTCTCTCACACCTTACCTTTTTAGCCCCACCTCTTAGCAATAAGCTGCCACCTGATTGGATCATGACGTTCCCACCCATTTAATTATTTTGACATTTACATCTTTAGTTAGATTGCATTAGATTTCTACGAAGAAATGTTTCAAATCAGAGATTCTGGTCAAGTTCACAGGCCTTCCAAGATGTTTCTCCTCAAACTCTGAGCTCTGAGATTACTTGTCTTAATTAACTACATATTTTGGGAGCTTCTTGGCTGTTTGTTTGAAATAAGGTTTCAAACCTTATTTGAACTGTGTAACTGTGGCTGTCTTGGAGGGTACTCACCATACACTCTGGGCTGGTTTAAACTCATTATGAACCCCCTGCATCAGCTTTCTCTGTAGTTATTAGGTAGGTTTGAGCCATAACAGCTGGATTCTCTTCTGCTCTCCTTGCCCACACTGTATCATGGGAGACTGATTGTGCTGATCAGAAAGGGCCTTCTAGTGAAACATCGGGACTTAGGAGAAGCATGAATGGCATCAAGGCACACACAATTATATATCAGGGATTGCCTTTGCTTCCCACATGCTGGGATTAAAGTTATATTCTTTCATATTCCAGCACATGCCACCTCAGCATTTCCAATCCAGAACGGTTTGGTCTAGCCTTTGTTGGTTTTAAAGCCATAATTCTCCTGTGTGCTTGTGAAGCATGTCCAAAGTATCCTAGTTCCCAAAGAGTCTACATAATTCCAACCAATCTTAGATCAATTCATCCCAGTGGGAAGAGATCACCAGGAACTTTGAGACTTCAGTCTATATTTTGATGATAAACTATGCATAGCCCTCATGATTATAACAGACAATGTTCTACTTTCACTCAGCACTTACAAATACTGTTTTTTATTTGTTTCCTTTCTTGCTTTGCTTTTCTGAGACATATATTATTCCTAGATGTTTTGAAACTCACTATAGCCAGGCAGTGGAGGCACACACCTTTAATCCCAGCACTTGGGAGGCAGACACAGGCGGATTTCTGAGTTCAAGGCCAGCCTGGTCTACAGAGTGAGTTCCAGGACAGCCAGGACTACACAGAGACACCATGTCTCAAAAAACCTAAAAAACAAAACAAAAAAACAAAAAACAAACAAACAAACAAAACCCAAAACAAAAAAGAAACTCAGCCTGGTGGTGGTGGCACAGGCCTTTAATCCCAGCACTTGGGAGGCAGAGGCACATACCTTTAATCCCAGCACTTGGGAGGCAGAGGCAGGTGAACTTCTGAGTTCAAGGCCAGCCTGGGCTACACAGTGAAACCCTGTCTCGAAAAACCAAAAAAAAAAAAAATGTCAGGCTTAAAGTGACATAAGATCATCAGTCAAGGCACTTGAGTAACTCACAGTTGTCATTCCATCATGAGTTGTCCTGAATTCAGGGTCACACTGACATTCTTAATATGCCCGTTTAAAAAAAAAAACCCACAGAAACCATACTGTCCCAATTAATATTATGGTTAGGCAGACCTTAGTTTTCTGAGATGGAAGAAGAATCTCTGTGAGTTCCAGGGCATGCAGGGTTATATAGAAATATCTCATCTCAAAAAAGACAAACCAGTATAT